TAATTTGACTGCTAGCAATTTGGCCATAACTGTAAACTTTTTCTTACCTGAGTTCATATTAATACAGTTATTTGGGTTTCTTTTAAAGGATCTTATTTTTTTTTATTTCACCATATTCCATCTTATTGTGTTGTACTGTGCTTTAAGAACTATGAATTGGAAAATTAGTTAGCTGCTATCTATTCTTTTTTTTTTTTTTTTTTGTTAAATAGCTGCTGTCTATTCACTTGACCATTATCTCTCTCTAGCTCTTCCCCCCCCCCCTCTTATTCTTCTTTATTTTTTTTTAAATATTTTTTTTTAATTGATAGGGTCGGCTTGAAGACAGGATGGCTGGGGGTAAGGAAGAGTATAATGCCTTTTTCTATTCACTTGTATCTACTGACACACAGGTACTGTGCATGTGATTGGTAAAGCAACTTTTTTTGGGACATTCTATTCACTTTAATGATATTTTTATATTCTTTCTCAATATTTTCTCTTAAATGTAGGAGATGTATTACTCAACTAAAAGGCAGCAGTTTTTGATTGACCAAGGTTACAGCTTTAAGGTACAATCTTGTATTTTTCTGGATTCTGGCTAGATCTTTGCAGTCGACATATGGTGCTCTTAAGTGATCATATGAAGGTGTTTTTGATGTTTATCAGCTGTCATTACTCTCATTAGATAGTCTGATGTTTAAAGAGTGAAGCAAGTAGCAAACAGCTGCTGGCTGCAGTTATGCTGTTTTATCCCTTTTCTTTTAACAAGTTACTATAAATGAATTTGACATCTTATTTATTGATTTTGCTTGTGATTGTGGTTCAGAATAAGGTAGAGAAATGTTTTATGATGGTGTAGCTTCAATTCATTTTAATGTTTGACTGGCATCTAGTCTGAAATCAGCCTTGACAATTGACTACACTCTTTCTCTATCTTTTTAATTCTTTACTAAATTTACTTTGAGAATTGAAACCAGTCTGGAATTGAGGTCGTATTTGATTTCTGGCGCAACTTGAATACTTGCGTGTTCTTTTTGGATCGTGTTGGTTTGCTGTTCTTTATAGGCTGATTGGAAAAAGGTTTTACTCAAATTAGTTTGCATGGTGCTAGTTATTGATATATGTGCCATGTAGCGTATATACATTTTTACTAGAATAACCATTTTCCACTATGAAGAATTGTTTTTTCTGCTTGAATATGGCCCTTTTAATCTGCAGCCTCTTGCTATCATCCAAATGAGAATGTGTTCAGTGGTATGATGATGGCTCATTTCTGCTACAGGTAATTACAAGTTTACCTCCTCCTGATTGTGGGTCAGAACTCAGCTATAGCTCGGTTCAGGAGCAGATAGATCTCCTGAGGAAGGTATATTACCAACACCTGGCTGCATTCTTTTTTTTTTCCTCCTCCAGAAAAATGTTTTCTGTCTATTCCTCCTTGACTCAAATCAAGAATATCTATTTTTAACTGTTATTACATTAGCGTTAAGTTTTGGTGATGAAACTGATGCTCCTTTGATAAGAATAAAATAGTCCCCACCGGAAAAAGCCAAAAAGGTGGTTGATGCTGTATTACTTTGATTTGATGCTATATTTATAAGAGAGCATGATTTAGCAGCTCTTGGTTAGGCCACCTGTCCCGTCGGTCTTTGTAATGGAAGTCACATTTGTTAATACAAGCTAATGTTAATTAGTTTGGTGGTACACCACACAAGATGCTGCTGAAAAGAGAATCGTTTATACTTTATAGTGTCTGATTTCATGTTCTTGTGACAGGTGCTGACTGCTGGGGATGACGCTGTTGGTCTGGAGATGTTGGAAGAAGATGCTGATGAGTTAGCCCTTATGAAAGCACGTCGCACCTCAGGATCTATGAGTGTCATGTCGGGTGCTAATGGGATGGTTTACATGGAGTACAAGTAAGAATATCTGGCTTTTAAAGGCTATGCTTATTAACCATTCTTAGGCTGAAGAAATTTGCATATGTTCTCCGCAATTTGCTTGTTGTTCAACTTTTTTAGACTTCTTGTCAACCATTCTGCTATCATTGATAAATACATGTACGAGATCTTATTCCTCTTTAAGACCAGCATTCCTATGCTTTTAGGTCCCATCGACAGGCTGTCTGCTAGTAATTATTTTTTGCATCCATGTTCATTATGATTTGGCATCTGGTTTCTTCTGTAGATTAAACAAAATTTTAACCCCAGAGGTTAATGCATGCATGTATTTTGAGAAATACTGTTGGGGTGCCCTGACTTATATACTGACCATCTACTGTGCAGTACTGGACATAAGAGAGGACATGTGAAGAGCAAGCCCAAGGATCCATCCAAACGGCATTATCTTTTCAAGAAGCGTTTCACATAGAGAATTCCTGTCCATAGTCTTCCCATGATGATGGTTGAGCAGCTGGAAAGTTATGGATTTGTTGATTAAAGCTGGAGCTCATTGTTACCAGGAAATACCTTTTTCATACGAAGATGAGCTCTTTCACCTCTTTGCTGTACAATCCCTTAAAGAAGAAAAATATTTGCACTGGGGGTTAGAGAAGCTTTCCATCGTTTCATTTCAGAACACAAGCCACGTAATACGAACAGATTGTTAATCTGAAGGTATATGCATTAGTGAAGAACCTGTTCAAAGCTCATATGCAAGGCAATAGATCAATTCGAAAGTTGTATTCGAATTTTGTAGATCAAATCGTTATCCACATGTAACAACACTATACTTTACAATTTCAACTAACACTTGTGTATAGGCCCAACTTTGCCTCTGCTTTAAGCAAATATGAAAAAATTACCTGAGTCTGCTTCAATTTTATTTATTTTATTGTACTTTAGCTACTATTATTACAGAGTATTATTTTTTGAAAGCATGCTTCAATCTTTCATCAATGTTTAAGCGTAGAACTTGGGTATCATATATTATCAACGAAAATGAAAATAATCAGTTGTTAATTTGTCAAGTCAGGGTGCCCTTTTTTTCACCTTAGGAAAAAGTTTCATGCTTAATAAGTTTTAAGATACGTCCAATAAGTTCATATCAGGTCCTTTTGCTGGGATCGGGTTTTCGAGGGGGCTGGGAACGCGACGCAGGCGCTGATAGGCTAGGTGGTTAGAGTCGCGGGCAGGGAGTGGGCTCAGGCGACGGTGGCGGTGGCTTGGGCAGGTGATGGGTGGACGGTGAGTAGTGGTTGCGGTGGGTTTGATGTTGAACAGTGGCGGTGGATTGGCAGCTGGTGGGTGAGAACTAAGGAGTGGTGGGTGGGAAGGAGTGACCATGCGCAGAGTTTTAGGAGAAATTAGAGAAAGTATTAAAATATGGAAGTAGTGGGGTTGGTGGAAGAATAAAAAATTGTAAAAGGCAAAATTAGTGGAGAGAATTGGAAGAGAGAGAATATATGTTGGGTCCACTAAGTTAGAGAAATTAATTAAATATTGTAAAAGCTTTCCAAATAAGGAAATGGAGTAAGTATTTAAAAACGGCCGAAAAAGGAAAGTGAAGCAAGTATTTAAAAACGGAGGGAGTAAGTGGTAGTGATATTTAACAAACTCTGATTTAGGTGGTAGCAAAGTAAAATAAAAAATTAAAGCTGTAGTAAATGTGAAGCATGGTCCTTTTGCTGGTAGCAAATGTGAAAATTTCCTATATATTACTCTTGGTAATGTTTTTGTGTGCTTCATATAAGTGAACTTGCATGGGTATTTATAGCAGTAAATACTACTACTCCCTCCGTTAAGAGTTATTACTCACAACAAAGGGGGAGTTTGCGGACTCCTAGGCGAAATATTGAATTTATGATTAATGTAAAATAAGGGCATACACTTAAGTGTTAATCTAACCCTGAAAAAAAAAAATTGACCCAGCAGCTGAAATCACGAACCACCACCACCTAGCACCACGAAACCACCCAACACCACCACCTAGCAGAGCGAAACCACCCAACAACACCACCAACCAGCACGAATCACCGACCACCACCACAACCAAGCATTCACGAACCCAAAACCACAATCCACCACCACCCACAACCCCAAATCCACAACCAACAAACCCAGAATTCGTGAACCCACGAACCCAGAACCCCACAACCCACGAACCGAAAATCGATGAAGTGACGACCGAAGAATCCCGCCCCTGAGAAAAAAAACGCAACCCACAATCATCAATTAAGGCTTAAATTGGTCAAATTTAACCATCAAAACCCTAGATCTGATCTAGAGTTTTCATGGTTAAATTTGACCATAAAACCTTCTAATTTGAGCTTCACCACCAAGGATGGAACAAAAACAGAAATGGAAGGGGGAAAAAACGGCAGCGACTAGAAGTAAGGGGAGATCGGTGACGGTGCCGGCGACGGTGGCGGTCTACATGGAAGGTTGCGGTCGAATTGAGGGCAGATGAACAAAGAGAGAGAAAATTCTTGGATGATGCATAGAGAGTGGAGATCGGTGGTAGGTGGTGGATGAAGATGATGAATTTGGATGGAATGAGAATTACTTTGGTGGAAATAGTTAAGTTAATTAATGTTAAGGTTTAAGTTAATAAGATAAAATTAATAGTTTATTTAAGATGTTTAAATAAAAAAGCAAGAGTAATTTTGTAAAATTACACTAAAAAACTTACTAAAAAAGGAAAAAAAAAGTTTGTTGCGAGTTATGTGTAACGGTCATTTATACTCCGTAGTAAATTTATTCGTAACGGAGGGAGTATTACATTGTGGCCTTGTGGGCTACAAACATAGAGGGTGGCAACATGGTTGACTACCACATAAATGCCATGAAGAAATTTGGAGTATGGACATTCACACCATACTTGATGATCAAATATATATATATTTTTTAAATAATGATCAAATTAATTTTTTTTCTTTTGAGAGCCAAATGATCAAATTAATTAACTCTTAACAACTTCAAATATTTTAAGGTAATTTTCACCCGTTTTATAATAATTTATTGAAAATCTAACTGCATAAGGAATTTGTGATAAATATGAATACGTGGAATCCTAACTGTCAGCAAATTCCGTCAACATATAATTTCCTGCAACGCCATTGGTCCCTCTTCCGTGCACCAACCTTAACACGCCACGTGTTCTAATACATCTCGGTGTTTCTAGATTTTGTTCAATCATAGCAGTAATCTATTTATATTCTCTCTCTTCCTTTTTATTTTCCCAGTTTCTTCTTCACTGTCTTTCTCTCTCTAAAACAAAAAAATATAAAAACCGAAAAAACTTCACAATTCCTGAAAAAATAATAAATTAAAAATGGGTGTTGGTATGAAGCTTGCGCCATTAATTCTGGCAACTTTGATCATCTTTGCTGCTGAAGCTAAGAAGGCATCAGACCCTTATAAGGTATATAAACCCTTCTTTTTAATTGATTTAATTTTTTTTTTTTTAATATTTTTGAATTTTCTGTTCAATTTCTGATGGATTTTGGGTATTATTTTAATTTTTGTTCTTTTTTAAATTGGCTGGGTATTATTTCTGCTCAATTTGTATTGCTTTTGAATTGGGTTTGTCAATTGTTAATTTGTATAGTTATTTTGGATGTTAAGTTACAAATTGTGAAATTGATACAACATTGGGAATTTGAATTGTTTTGCTGATTCTTAATTTGTTTTTTGAAATTGGGGGTAGGTTTGATTTTGTGTTTGAAGGGAAATTTAAATTATTTTGAATTACTTGTTGTAATATTATGGTTACATTGGGGAGTGCGTTTTTAAAAATGTGGGATTGACATAATGTAATTCGTTCCGGAAGACTTCTATTTTAAGCAGATTAGTGAGTGAAGATTTGGGGTGTATTGATGTTTGTTATGAAACCGAGGTTAAAGAATAAGGCGTCTATTATTCACTCGGGTGTACCTTGTATAATGGAATTATTAGAATAGCTAGTGTGGTTTGATTCTACCTCATTAGTAGAGCTTCTTGTTGTTGATGTTGGATCATTTGAAATTGAAATTACATATCTGTATATTCTTAAACATATAGTGATGTAATACATGTATAGCTCAAAATACAAACTCTTCCGAGTCATAAATTTTTAAATTTTGAAAGGATTTAAAAATACTGAAGATCATTGGCGAGTTATCTAAGAATTTTAGTAAATACTAAATTGAATATGCGGAGGCACCTAAAAAGAGCTAGCTTGGGAGAGTGTGTATTCTGTATATACACAATAGCCGGGGGGCCTTACCGCCTTAATGAGTTAGTTTTAATTAGAACATTGCCGGGAATCCGTGATATTGTAAAAATCTTAATTGGTACCCATGGTAGTATCCATGATCTGCAATTTTGTATTGCTGTTTGAACTTTTGCGCATAATGTACCTTCAATGTAAAGCTTCTGAAAATATATTCTGCTTTGGGAATGTCTTTGGCTAGTTTGGTAGTTTCTGCAGTAGCTGCACCAAAACTTCACATATTCAGACATTTGGTTATAATTTACTGTAATATTTTTATTTTCTTCTCACTTTTGAACTTTAGGCTTCATTGCCTAAATTAGTGGGTTGGTGTGGCATGGATACTATTTAAGTATCTCTACAGAAACGAAATCAAATTAGCAGGGAGAATATTAGAATGTAGATCTCTGGAATGAAGTGTGTAGCTTATACTCCTATTTTATGCAACAGTTTTTCGTCATTGAAAGAACGTAGCTTATAAATTTTTATCTAGTCCTAGTCGTACACGGTCTTGAGACACCTTTGTGGCTAATGTGGCTCTGCCGCTTTATCAGTTCACTGTCGACATTATGATTTTTCATCAGAATATTCCTTATTTATTAGATTCTCTTAACATTTTTGGGCTCCTAATATATATTTTTTTTCCTTCTTCAGGTACTAGGTGTTGATCGGAATGCCAGTCAACGTGATATTAAGAAGGCTTTCCACAAGTATGTTCTTTCATCCACTTTGTAAAGCATGTAGTCTACAGTCATTGTCTTCGAATTTGGAACAATATTAATATAGTATTGATTGATCAGGACTTCTGTGATTCTCTCATTGTTAATATTCCTTCTAGTGTTATGATTTAGGAAGGACGATGACATGAGATGTTTTCGTCTTATCTGTCATGCTGTTCTATGCTAAAATGGGCTAGCCTTAGTTTTTACTGTAGAGGCATTAGACTTGTAATTTTATTTTATAGTAGATGTCAATCAACTTCTGTAGGAATGGAAATCAACTATGAGTTAATTACCATGTATAAACATGTCGTTGATGCAAGCTTATTGCTTTATAAGTTGATAATTTTAACACTTCATTGATGCTAGCCTAAAGCTTATATAAGTTTATCTTTAGTAATGAAATTTCTTGTCATCTTGTGTGATATACATTGCTGGTAGCCATATAAGGTTGGTTCCTTCTTCTTCTTAACTTACCTGGGAGCTATTGTGTTCAAGCTAATACTTCATTTCATTTCTTTGGATGATCAAACAAAAATTTTCATATAATGCTATACGTAATCTGTTGAGGAGATAATAATATACATGATATTGTCTTTGTCTTTCAACTTAGAGCTTGCTTCTAGGGATGTGCATAATGCTTACTCTTACCTTTCTTGTTTCTAGGCTTTCTTTACAATATCACCCTGACAAAAACAAGAATAAAGGAGCTCAAGCAAAGTTCGAGGAGATCAACAATGGTAATGTGTAATTATCCTTGCTTTATCTGAAGTAGATGATTGTTCATTAGGGTGTACATTCAGTTTGAAGTTGTTTAACTGTTGAGCTCATGTTTTTGCAGTTCTCATATCACAATTGAAGAGATATGTAGGAAATTTAGAAAGAGTAGACGACTCTTAAAATCTTTTCCCCATCCACTATGTATTGCACCTCAAAATCATTTTCCTGTGTACCTTATATTGCCCTTAAAATCTTTTCCTCTTCTAACATACATTGCATACTGTGCATATATGAGAGCCGAGGTTATAAGTGTAGCATCATGAATTTTTTATCAACGGCCCAGAGGCTTTATAACCTGGGGCCAAACGTTTTTTTGGCTTCAGCGCACTTTTAAAATAAAATGTAGAGCAGACTAGGAAATGTCATTGCCGAATTGGCGGCTTTTGATATATGTTTATAGAATAGGATTAAAAGTGCGATTAAGGAGTATTAGAATTCTGAGGTAATGTGATAGGGCTGATAGAATGGTGTTAACTTTGATCTTCTGTAGAAGTTTAATTTCTATTGCTGTACTTCAGCTTCGTTACCTGTGAAAATAATGTTTTTCTATGTTCTTTTTTGGCTTATTTCGAGTTGTATATGCCTGGCATATTTGACATTCTTTTTGCACAGCATCATAAACTCCCTCTTATCCTGCCTTTCATTATTAGGGGCAGGAATGAAAGTGGGTGTCTTTGACCTTTTTTTCTCTCTTGTGTGGCTGAAATTCTGCTCCTTTCTCTTTTAAAGAACCTATTTTGAAAATTTCTGAGGTACCTATTCATCATGTATATTTTGTGCAGCTTATGAAATTTTGTCTGACGAGGAAAAGAGGAAAAACTATGACCTATACGGTGATGAGAAAGGTGGACCTTCCTTTGATAGTGGGGGTGCAGGAGATTATGGTGGATACACCCACTTCACGAGCGGAGGATCAGGGGGGCAGTGGCAAAATATGGGTGGGGGTGGCCGAACTTTCTCCTTTTCCTTTGGTGGATCTGGCGGTGGAAACCCATTTGGTGGATCTGGTGGTGGAAGTCCTTTTGGTTTTGGCCTCAATGATATGTTTTCAAACCTTTTTGGTGGTAACATGGGCAGTGGTTCTGGCTTTAGCGGTTCTGGTAGATCATCTGGATCTACATTTGGTGGTTCAGCTGGATCACAATCTGGGTTTAAGAGGCCCCCCAAGACTTGTCGTGCAGTAAGTTCACAGGTGTTTGAGAAAGAAATAAATGCTAAGGGTATTACTTGGCTTCTGCTTTCTTATACGCCCTCAATGATGTTGGCTCAGCAGTATGAATCTATCTTGGAGGAGATTGCTAATTCATTGAAGGGAGCTTTAAAAGTACAGTCCTATTCTTTCTTCTAGAAAATTTGCCGGTTTCTAATAACAGTACAGTGCTGATGCTCATATTTATTTGTGCAGGTTGGTAAAATTAATTGTGAGACTGAATCTTCTTTCTGTAAGAATCATGGAATACATCCTCGTCGAGTGCCTAGATTATTTGTTTATTCCTACATAACTAGTGAGAGTGGCTCCTTTGTCGAATATAATGATGAGTGGGATGTGAAAAGCTTGAAAAGCTTTTGTCAGGAACATTTGCCAAGGTTTTCGAGACGTGTTAGCCTGGCTGACTTTCAGCCTTCATTTGGCGGTGCTGGGGAGAGATTACCTCGAGTTATGCTTCTCTCAACCAAAAAAGATACACCAGTGATTTGGCGTACTCTTAGCGGCTTGTATCGCAAACAATTTATCTTTTATGACGCACAGGTATCATATGTTTGTTCTGGACTTCCTTCCCCCCATCTTCTTAACCTAAGTCAAAAATAAAAAGAACAAAAAATGAATAAATGGAAGATAAATAATACAGGGAATAAAGGTTTTTTCAATGTTTGTGAGATGTGGAACATCAGACTGTTACCTATTTATTGTTTAGTCATGATATAATAATCCATTCAATTATTTGAAAAGATTTAAGTTGGTTCCATTATATGCAGCTTTGGGGAACTTTGTAATACAACATGATAATATAATCATTGGTGTCAATTTGTTATAAAAATTTATAGTGCGAATTTAAAGGGTAGTTTTGGCTTTTGATTGATTTTACAGGTTCATGATGTTTCTGATCCAGAGGTGAAAAGGTTAGGGGTTAATGCACTTCCAGCTATTGTGGGGTGGCTGTCAAACGGAGAAAAACACATACTGAAAGCAGGAATATCTGTGAAAGATCTAGAGTCTGCTGTTCAGGAACTTGGTCTCTTACTTGATGGTTTTGAAAAGAAGAATAAAATTGCTTCAAGTCAGACTAAGAAGTCTGAGAGTGAACCTTCTAGCAAACAAGTACCACTATTGACAGCATCTAATTTTCATGCTCTTTGTGGAGAAGATAGTCCTGTTTGCTTAATTGGTGGTTTTAGATCATCAAAAGCTAGAGACAGACTCGAATCAATTCTATCAGCGGTAAGTGGGATCTTTTTTATGATAGGACTTCTTAACAGATATGACTCATATGAGCCCATTAAATCAAATAAAGATTCACTCTAATCGAAAATACAAGTCATATTAGGCATTCATACAAATCTTTAAAATTTGGTTAAGCTTAGTTGAAGTCGCTTTAGTTTTGTCATGTGGCTTTAATATTGCAGTGATTCATGAAATGCCTATTATGTTATTTAAATATTTTGGTAATTAATTTTGCATTTATATTGTAGACTGACTTATATTTAGGACCAAAACAAATTGGCTAATTCAATTCATGTTTTGATTTGAAGAGAGTACTAATATCTGATATACATTTTTATTGTCTGCAATCTCTGCATGACTCTAGCGTGGTTTGGCCATGAAAGTTCCATTTTGTACCTGTTTCACCATACTGTTCCATTTTGTACCTGTACTGGAAAAGTTCCATTTTATTGTCTGCAACTCTGCATGACTCTCGATCAGCTAACTGTGTTTGTATGTGGTTCCAGGTTTCACAGAAATCATTATCAAGGAGAAGAAATCTGTCATCTGAATCCAAAGATTCCATCTCCTACGCAATGGTAGATGCAAAGAAGCAGCAGTCTTTCTTGGATGCTTTTGACAAAACTGGATTCAGGTCGTCAAATAGCTTCTTGGTGGCATACAAACCTCGGAAAGGGAGGTACGCTGTGTATACTGGAGATCTTAATGAGGAAGAAACTGAGAAGTTCATTGGCTCGGTCCTCAGTGGTGATGTACAATTCAGCAAAACGCGGCAAAAACCAATGATCGTGTAGAAAGATTGTGATGTAGTAACTCTAGAAGAATTGTAAAGTCAGTGTATAGAGAATGGATTAAACAAGAATGTTTAGAACAAAATCACCCACTTATACAGGGAGCGTGTAATCAGAGTTTAGAGGGCTGGTTCGTTTTTGAGTAACTAGATAGTCGAAAAAATGGGTAAAATATGGGTCCTTTATTGTACATACTGGAAAAAATGGAATGACATTTCATATGTAACTAGCTTTTGGACCCGTTCTAAGCACGGGTTGTGCATAAGTTATGATTCATACTTTTTTTTTTGTTAAAACTCACAAATTGCATAAGGGGTCAATGAATTAAATAAAACTAGCCTTTTGGCCCGTGCGATGTATGAGTTAATTCATATAAAATTGTATTGATAGATAAGTGAGGAAACATTAGTAAGTCATTATAGGGTATAATATGTAATTGGAAACATGATTAAAGAAATTAAAATTTTGGAACTTTAATCGAAAAAGAGGCTTAAATAGAAGGTGGAAGGGCTAAAATTAAAGAGAGAATAGGAAAAGGTTGAATTAAAGGGTCGGGAGAGATGAAGTGTGTATGAAAAATAAATTATAACTTTAATGAAAGAACTAAAAAAAATGGTGTAATAAAAAATTAATAGTGTAAGATGACATGTGACACTATGGTTAGAGAAGTGTAATAGAATGGATGAGGACATGTGTCTTTCTTAGTTTCTTGGTTATAGTTTTTAAATACTAAGTATAGATATAGATATAGATATAGATATAGATGTGATTAGATTGAATATAAAGATAGAGGGAGAAGAGGAGAACTTTAATAAAATTCAATTTGTTGAATTTAAGTGGAGGCTATAGAATGCATACAATCATCTATAATATTATTAAAACTTATGGGAACAACATGCTAACGGCATGTGTCACTCATATGCCACATATGCACTACATGTCATCCTATGTGTCATCCCTCTTCTCTCATCATATTGAATTGTATTAATGTATAGTCTCTTCAACAAAAACTCTTCATTGGCCTAACTTTAATGCTATATAATACATTATTGTTTAATTTAATTGAAATTTTTTTCATATTGACCTCTTATTACATTTTCATTTAGTTATTAATATTGTTCAACATTAACACTTCTGAATTAATTTAATCAAATTTATAATTTATGATGATCCGGGATATCGCCCGGGTCAATAACTAGTTGAGAATTAAAGGGGGAAGCTGGAGAAGTTCTTTGTTAAACTAAGAAAATAGAGTGATTACAGATAAAGGTGATTGGAAGGAGGACATGTGGCAACTATGGTTTGTATTTTTAACTACTATCTATAATATAGATAGATGAGAAACATAGACGTCTGATCATCTCTGTCACATACCATTACAAATTATCCCTGGGTTTAATTTGGAGCTGAAAGTTAATAATTAATTTTTGTATGAATTTAAAAGAAACTAACATTTTGAGATTAATTGTACTATGTTATCAATAATTATAATCAAGGTGTGACATTAGGAGGGTAAATTAGAGTTCTTTACATAATGTAGTGCACAACAAAATACAAGATTATCATGTTATTAAGTTTTTTTAATTTTTTTTCTAGAACATTGTGAAGTCCATTGCATATCTTAACATACACATACAATTATGGATGCAAATGACATGTGTACATCAATTATTGTACACACATGTATTGACCCGAGTGTACAATAAAAATCTTCCCGATACTCAGCCATATACAAGGAGTAATAGCTTAGGATAGAGAATGAATTTTGTTTCCTTTTCAATGAACTGATTATTAATATTCATTTCTTTGTGCATATAATTAATTAATTATTACAAAGTGCACATAGAATAAACTTTGTCAGTATGCTGTTAAGAATAAGTAGCTTTGAGTTGGTGCTTATACTAATATCCTAGATTTGTATATATAAGCCTACCAAATAATGATGCAAATACCGTTCAAAAAAAAAAAAAAAAAAAAAATAATGATGCAAATACACCGAAAAATAACCACATTTCTGAAAAATAAAACTTGTAGAGTTGTAGATAGAAGTGTGGACGAATGTGTTGGCGCCTGAAAAAGAAGGGGTACAGTGGATAAATGTAGTAGGGGCACCAAAAGGATTGTGATAGAGAAATCTAGGTTGTGTGATGGTTACAACTCATGCAATGGGAATAAATACCCAATTTTAAAGTAACACAACATAACAATTTTTTAAAGGTTGGAATATATTTAGAAAGGAAAAAAGTGTTACATAATGTCAAGAAAAAAGAACAATTTTACAGCCTAGGTTTATACACAACGTACTCTAAGACGAAGCTTCTAAACCTTTCACTCAAATTCGAAAGCTCCACTACCTTAATTATTGGTTGCATCATTGTAAAGTCAAAATGCTACAATAGTATGTATAATTGAGATTTGCTCTCTAGGCACAACTAAACACAATATATGGTCAAGCTAATTAGATGATTTAGTATAACGTTACATAGTTTTGGTCCATTTTAACATGACCGAGCGTGAATCAGGTAATTTAATTAATTAGCATTCGTTACTTTGCATGACGGGTTGAAGTAATATAATTTAAGTAACGTTTTTATGTGCAACACCTTGATGATGCCACTAACTACGTACGATGGTCTAAGAAAATTTGGTCAAATTGGGAGAATAAATTGAGTGGTGAACCTAAGGTAGTGAGGAGCTTTGGATGGTGCAAAGGTTGGATATAAAGTGGTGGGAGGAAAAAGCTAAGGCAAATTCCAAAGGAAAAAATGTTAGCATCTGATTCTAGTGAAGTTGCGGTTGAGGAGAAATAGATAGGTAGAAGAGCATAAATGTGTTATTGCTAAACTTTGACAACAAAGTTACTTTGTGTCTTATTCTGTGGAGGCCCTCAATAAAGAAGAAAATTCTCAATGCAATTTTATTGTTGTGTTGTTCTTTGATGGCTTAATTGCCTAGAGCATCCAATTCCTTGAGGAATCCTTATGTTGTATTACTCCGCATTTCTTTTATTCAATTTTGACTATAGTTAGATAGTTGGATCCTATCATGTAATTATATTATTAAGTACGAAAATTAGATTTTGGTATAGTTATAACTTATAAGAGGTTGGTCGAAAAATTGAAAAAAATGGTCTTTTTATAAATTATAATATAGTAATCTTTATGAAAATAAGGCTTAAATGTCTCTAAGCTATTGTTTTCATAATTCATATATTCTCTCTAAATCAAAGAGCATATATGAAATTAAAAAAAAAAAAAAAAAAAAGAAAAAAAAAGGAGAAAAAAGAAGAGCATATATGAAGCCATGAAGGGAGATTCTATTCTATAAGAGTAAATTATTTTACTAACATGTACTCACTTAGCTTTGCATAAAACTAAAACATGTGTTCCAACAATAATATAGTATAACCACTTAGCTTTCTCCCTTATAATTTTAGTAATGATTTAAAATAGAAATCTTTCAATTCAGCTACATATCTAACACTATATTAAAAGGTTATAACACATTAATTACATTTTATTCACTCTCACTAACGATAAAAAAGTTAAGTTATACACTAATAACTATCAAAAAAATAGTACTCTCTCCGTCTCTTTATTAATGTCCACTTTCTCTCATTTATTACTCACATAATAAAGAGAAAGTGGACATTAATAAAGAGACGGAAGGAGTATTTGTAATTTTTAGTGTCAAGCCTCTAATATTATTCGATTATGCATACATAAAAGTATAATTTAAGTATCCCAAAATTTTATATATCTTCAAGAGAGAGAAAGATAGGGTGCTATGTGGTCCATAGTGTGATGATAATGGATGCCAATCAATTCAATTCATCATACACAACCACATCTATTTCCACCCCCACCCCAATTATTCCATAACATAAAGGCATAGCTTACTCTACACTTAACTCAAACTTCTAACAACCCACAACTATATTCCTCTTCCCAAGAATTCCAACACCTAAAATTCTTCCCTTGCTCTTTTCCCTTGTTTTTCCCTCTATTAGAGTTATTCATGCATGCAATAATATTGATTGATTCCCTAAAAAATACACCTCCTTTGTTCTAAACACTTTTAATACCACCTTTAATTTTTAGCATCAAAATTATTATGAAGGGTTTAAACATAAACATATCATCTTGTACTTCACAAGACTCAACCGCTATAATCTCTTCCAACATGGAAGTAATACTACCATCCTCGTCCTCATCCTCCTCCTCGTCTTTCACCCCTGGAAGCCGAGCAATTGATAGACACAACCCTATCATCACGGACGAAAGAAGAAGTGGAATTAGTAGTACTAACGGTTCGTGTGCTAGTACTCCCATTGGAACCCCTTGCACCAACCATGTCCTACAAAGAAAACCTCCTACACCAATTAGCCCAAAACCTCATCAAACTCATACCCCACAAAAAAAGGGTAGTAACAAACTTCCTACATTAACCAAAAAAAAGACTAGCAAAAAAAACGTTACTAATAATGCTACAAAACCAACCATTACTAGTAATAATATTATTATTGATAATGGTGATGGTGTTCATAATAAAAGTGGTAGAAGGAGCTTCTCTAAGCCGTCTGATTTTATCATGAAGGCGGCGGCGTGTGCCAATACTAAGCCTGGTGTAGACTACATTAGCCCTCCTGAATCATCTAGGTATCTTTTAGATGACACTTCTTTTCTTGAAGTGTTATCTGATTTTGACCCGGTCTTGAAGCTTAAACCTTATGATACTAACCACCATAACGACGACGTCGAGGTTGTTAAGCCGGAGGCCGGTTCTAAGCCTCCTAAACCACCTTCCTCAACCGGATCATCGGACCAGGTTTGTAACTCTTCTTTCTTAGTAATGTGATTTATTAATAATCCACTCGTTATTTAATTAATATGGAGTAGTACGTATAGTAATTTTTAAAAGGTGACGTATAATATATGTTGAATACTTTGACTCTTACAACTTTTGTACACTTACATAGGTTTTAATAAACTAAAGTTTTAGTCTATGTTACCCGAACTCTTCATTTCACCTCACGTACCCGTGTCAAACCCTCAACACTTGGACATGAGTATGACACCCGGACACTTCACTTTTAGTTCAAAATCATGAAATTTTTTCACAAAATTGCCGAGTCGGACGCTTGGACACGTACCCGTGTCGGACATGGGTAGCCGTGTCCAAGTAACATTGATTTTAGTATTTGTCTTTGTGCTATATAATGATCTTAATTGTATAAAGATTAGGACATGTATGATTGTTCAAATTAAAATTTGGATCATGTTGAGTTTAGAATGATAGAGTATATAAGTTGATTACGCATTTCAACCATTATTTAAATTATTGGTTGAGTTAATAGAGAAAAGTACAAGACTACAGTAGTGAATTTATTTGTTTGGATGGCAGGATAAAATTGATGCACAACGGATAAATACGTAATTACTTAAAAAAAAAAAAAAGAAAAAAAAAAGAAATATAAAATATGTGAAATTATAATGATGATGATGGCAATTTGACTTGGCTAGTCTATAGTTGTCTCTCGTGGGGTTATGTAATTAATTTCAGTATCAAAGTCAAGGTTTATATAGTACTCGTAAAAGAATGAATGAAATGACTCTTTTTAAGTTAAACACCACTTAAGATTCTACTTAAGGTTCTACTTAAGATTTAATTTAACGCCCCAAATATATGGATGCGAGCTACCTTTGAATTAAATGTTTAAGCGACGATACTTGGAAAAAACTATCTACTACAGTATTAAATAGAGAGTAGTGATATCCCTTTCAAAAAAATAGTGATAAATAGTAATAGTGAAATCCAACTCAATGTGATTAATGATATCTTAATATTATATTAGTAGAGGGTTAAAAATTACCTAGTGGGTAGATATAGCGTGATATTTAGGACCAAGTCTATACAGATTATTTTCAATTCCAGTTCAGTTCAGTTCTTAATTTTCTTTTCTTATAAAATATTCAGTTCATTTCAACTCAGTTCATTCAATCTGAACATGCCCTTATAGTGTATGTTGATGATCAAATATGTCTATACATTATCCTTATTAGTTGGTATTTATGCTAAAAAGAAAATTGCCTAAATTGCATGTAAAAGTTCAAACAATTTATAGAATGATAGAGTAAATATATATGAGTGATTCTACGGTAATATTTAACTTTTGAGATCTGTTTTAACTTGTTAGTTTTTTTAGGCAAAACGATAGATATATTATATTTTAACTTGTTATTGATCAAAAACAAGTTTGTGTTCTTTCAAAGATTAATTACAAGGTTGTAAATTTGATTTATTTCACCAATTTGAGAACGAAGTAATAAAATTTTCAGCATATTTTGACCACTAAAGTCAAAAGCAGTCTGATTTATACACAAACACACCTTTATTACTATACCAACATTAGTCATATTAAAGTAACAAATGTTTTACTGAAAATAATCATGTATATCAGCTTTTGTAATTTGGAAGTTATAGAATACTCACTCCAATATTAGAAAGAAAAGGTTAAAAATAGTAGTACTTGGTTAGTAATGATGATGTTTGATGTACTATAAGAATTGGCGGGTGGTGACATTAAAACAAAGATTGATGATTATTGATGTTTGCAGGTGGTGGTTCTGAGGGTGTCATTGCACTGCAGAGGTTGTGAGAGAAAAATGAAAAAGCATCTCTCTAGAATGCCAGGTAATAAACTTATTCATCATCATATTGCATCTCATTCATTTAGTAATCCTACATTTGTTCAAACCAACTTTATACGAGCAACTAATAGGGGACGAAATGTTCTTAGTAAAGATTACTACATAAGTAAATTGCAATTATACACAGTAAGATGTTATTGTCTTTTCTCCATGTTTTATTTGCCTAAATTTAAAACTACGGCTATTTCACCAAATGCCACTGACAAATTTAAAAATTCACCAAATGCCATCGGACTTTTCAGAATTCACCAAATGCCACTCAGTTTTTAAATAATTCACCGAGTGCCATTAATGACTAACGGCCGTTAACTCCGTTAGTCATTAGGGTCTAATCATGACACATGTCATGATATGATTAGTCTATTTATTTTAATTCTTAAAAATTAAAAGAAAATAAATAAATTAAATAAAAAAACAAAAAAAAAATCCCAAATTTTCCCAGCCACCTTCCCACCACCGCCAAAACCCTAGCCACCTCCCCATTTCTCGCCGGAAAACAGCCAGCCACCCCCTTAACCACTAAAAAACGGTCGATCGGCCCTTAAGCACTCCACCTGACCCACCGCTGACCCCCAAAACCACCCACACAATCTGCCCCGACCCCAAATGCCACCAACATGAGCTTTGATTTAAACACCCATCGTTTTCCAACCGTCGCTCAAAACCACTCCTCCTATCCTCCACCCTTGAAACGATGAAATCGGCCATAGAAATCGACCATTGTAGATTTCCATGGTTGATTTCGATCGTTTGAGGGTGAAGGGTTTCCACAATCAGGTTTTATTTTGGATTTCTGGGTTTCCATGGTCGGTTGTGGTGGTTATGTGATGCGTCGTGTTGGTGCGTGAGGTGGTTGCGGGGGTTGGGGTGGGCATCATCGCAAGGTCGTCAGGTAAACGAAATTTTGTGGGTCAGTGTGTGGGTGATGGAGTTATTGGGCATTGCGTGAGATGGTTGCGGTGGTTGGGGTGGTTTTTCGCTAGATTAAGAGGAGTCGACGGTTTTGATGGGGTTAAGGGGTTTCGGCGGGACGTCATGGGTTCCGGCGGGTTCCGGCGGAAGGTTAGAGGGTTCCGGCAGGAGGTCAAGGAGTTTCAGGGGTTGGCTTTGGGCCGACGGTTGGCTTGGGCAGGTGGTTACGGTGGTGGGGTAGGGTTGGGTTAGGATTTAGAGTTTTTTTTTTTATATTTTTTAAACCAATAATCGATTGCCATGTGTCATGATTAAGCTTCCGTTAGTCATTAATGGCACTCGGTGAATTATTTAAAAACTGAGTGGCATTTGGTGAATTCTGAAAAGTCCGATGGCATTTGGTGAATTTTTAAATTTGTCAGTGGCATTTGGTGAAATTTCCGTTAAAACTATTAGTTGGGTGTTTTTACATATTTTTGTCGTTTGGGCCCTAGAGGTGGGCCTTCTATGCATGTCAAGCAATCTATGTCAGTGGGCCAAAGTTGATGATAGCCTTGCTATATTAAGAGCACTCTTGCTGTTTTTCTGAGCTCAATCAAGACCAACACATAAATGCTATTCTGAGAAATTAGTTATTGTGTTTGGTCTCTCAACCTATTTGCATCGAGGGATTTTTATATACACCCGGGTGTACCGTACACGTTACACACATGAATATTTTTTCTCATTTTGATGATTATTTTTCATTTTATTATCAAATAAATAGCAAAAAATAACATTAGGTTTGTTGGGTGTATGGTACATCCGGGTGTACATAACAAATTCTAATCATGATGATTTAAATAATATTCATCGTACATACTACTTTCTCGTTACTCTTTACTACTAGTTGACACAATTATAATACAGTACTAAATTAAAGCTTAGAAAGTAAGTATACGGGTATTTAAATCGATTGTTTTGTTAATTAGTTATTTGTACTAAATCATTGTTGTACTTCGTATTTATTTTATGAAATTACCCATTTTTACATATTATATTTATTTAAACAAAGACTTACGAATTATATTCAATAGTTAATGGTTAATATATTATATGCTAAATATTAATTTTGTAAAAATGAATAGAACATGACCTTAAATTGGACAGTAGATGACCGCAGTAGTTCACAAAATATATACGTAATAGACAATGGCAGAGTGATTGGGAACAGCCTGAAGGTTCCAAACATACAGGAGTTGAAGGTGGCTAGTTAGGATGATTGAGCCTATTGTTTTGTCAATTTCTTTTGTAAAACTCATTTAAAAAGGCCTAGCTTTTTAGATTTTGGAAACTTGGCCCAACCAATATTGGGTGAAATCTTGTTTGGGCCTTAGTTGGTAACAGTTGGAAAGTCACTAAGGTGCATGAGGTGTAACCGATACTTATTAGAAGTACTAACATCCTGTCTTCAAAATCCGGGTTTGTCACTGGGTGACAATTAACCAGGTTAGCTAGCCGAGTAGTCTAGGTGTATAGACTAACTAAACCCATTGGCTTTCATTACTATGGTAGTATGATGGTGCATTTGTGCATAATGAACTTATAAATAGTACAATAATCATAATTAATGTATCCTTTTGATGATGGTATTGATAATCTCCACAAATTTAATGTGAGCAGGTGTGACATCTTTCAACATAGATTTCGCAGCAAAGAAGGTAACGGTGGTAGGAGATGTGACACCATTAGGAGTTTTGACCAGCATTTCCAAAGTCAAGAATGCTAAATTGTGGACACCAGCAACTACAATCTCTTCTTCTTCTCAACTCAACTCAAGAAACATGCAACTTTATTATATAAAATAATAGTTGTATGATATAATGTTTGTTTATTAAAGTTTTGTACATGCATTGAATTAGTCTCATAGCATGTATGTTAATTAGATGTTGATCTTGTCACAAAAAAAAAAAAAAAAAAAAAAAAAAAAAAAAAGATGTTGATGTGTTCTTGTTATCTTGTTTAGTTATTAGAAATTTAGAAGTGAACAAGTTTGCTGAACACAATAAGTTTAATTTGCTTCAAGTCTACTACTTATGATGTTAATTAATTAATTGTGAGTATGTAGTTAATATATACTTCGTAATAGTTTAAGCGATATCCATTTCCTTAGCTTCAATCTGCTAAAAAGAAAGTGAAAAAGTTATTATTGCATTTTAAAGAATTTTGATCATGTTTATTATGACTAGTTAGAGTTGACAGCGCGCGATCCATGGTCTTAGTTATTGATTCATTCATAACAATCTATATCTAATCTATCTATACTTAGTATTTAAAAACACAAACCACAAATTTTTCATATGACACATGGCATTACAATTCACAAGTCACTCATCTATTTATGTTTAAGTCTTTATGCATTATACAACTTGCAAATTCAACTAAGAAAATGAAGTGTTTTATTTCCACCATAATAAAATAATGTTTTAATTAATACACATTACATAAACATATAAATTATAATAAAAATTGTCTTTTCATCTCTAAGACTTAAAATAAAATTTAAAATAATATGTCATTTTATATCCCACAATCTTCACGTGTATATATCTAACTAAATTCATTCATCTTCTTTCACGGTTCTACCCTCTCTCACTTTTTTTTTAAATTTATTTTAAGTTTAGAAATGAAACAATCTTCCGACATATGAAAATAATTAACCCAAGTAACAACCCGTGCATTGAAAGGGCCAAAAAGCTAGTTATTTCAAATGTATTGATGCTGTAATTATTTTATAGGGAAATTATCATCGGTACAATCTAGGTTTTGATATTTATCTTTGATACACCTTATTAAGTTTTTATTATGTGCGGGACACTCATAATTATCACTTAACTAGGTGTGAAGCCCGTGCGACGCACGGGTTTGTTTTTAATATTATTTAAGATTTGTGTCTTATTAAATACTAATAATAATAATAATAATAATAATAATAATAATAATAATAATAATAATAATAATAATAATAATAATAATAATAATAATAATAATAATAATAATAATATAAAAAGGATTAGAAAACAATAGGATAGTTGGTTAGAGTTGTGGTTTGTGTTTATTTTGGATTTGGATTGCAAAAGATGAAATTTGTTAAGAGGAAAGAATGCTTTAATTTACATGTGTGTTACACAAGTCACAACTCTATCACTTTCATTAGTGGACCGATGACCGATTATACAGTATTACAGTATATTATATAGTCCACAGAGCTACCAGAAATTATAAGCATATAATAACAGTAATGTCAAAAAATAAAAAATAATAATAATATTTCAATCTTAAAAAATTATTATTATTATGATATTATCAAAAATTTATATTAAAAAAACAATTTGTGATGTTCAAATAGAATGATCTCTTGTACATCTCTATACATAGTACTCTATTCTTTTTTTGTACTTATGATTTAGGTATCTTGGGTCTCCTGTGAATGACGCTGACAGGATTATCCTATTCCCTTTTACAACCCTAAATATGTAGTGTGTAGAGTATATTGTTTCTTTGTAATTCTGGTACATATTTCTTGTGCCTCCAATCAATGACGGTGATAAGATTAATTTTTTTCCATCTCAACCTCAGTTGTATCTTTGTTTACTATTGCATCCTCGAAGGTATTGTAATTTTCAGTTTGTGTAGCCATAAATCTTGGGGTTTTTGACTATGGATAAAAACAATTAACGTTTTTCTATGTATTGTGAATTAATTAAGGCATATTTATAAGGAAATTCAATCCATCATATATTCTCTCTAAATTTTATCATTCTTTATAATCTATTTTTTTTAATTGTTATTGATATAATTTTTTAAGCTTTGTTTTTTCTTGTTATTATTAAATTTTATCATTTTTTTAGTTGTTATCTATATGAATAATTTTTTTATTTTATTTTCTTTTTCTTTTTAATATATTCATTTTATATTTATGTGATTGTTGGATGGTAGGTATAACAATAATCATGTATTATGATTTTTTTGTAATTATATATTTTTTTAATATCATAATTTTGAAAGCCCATGAAACTTGTTAGGGGGCGTTTGGTTCGCAGAGTGGTATAAGTTTGGAATCAGGAATAGGGTTAAGGTGGTATCGGATTGGAACTTAAATAATATTTAATTAATAAAATAGATATTTAATATATTCATTCTATAACTTGCTTTAATCTAGTCGTAACATATTTAGTTGATGTATATTTCTTTAATTATCGGCAAATCACCAAAAATAGTGGGTTGCAAATTGATAAAACCGGTAAAATATTCTATATATAAAGTGAAAGGGGTTTTGGATGATAAATTTCACTTTCCCAAAATATCCCTCTCAATTTTATTTTATTTTATTTTTTTTCTAAAAAACCCTTTCATCTAAAAAGAGTAAACTAATAATCGAGCATAATATATTGACACACACAATTTTTTGTGTCGCTTAGCTTGTAGTAGTAGTGTAAAAAACAGACTCCATTATCCATAATAATTACTCCATGTTTTTAACCTTAAAATATAAAATATCTTTGACTTTTATACGTAGTATTTAGCTATCTTATAAACTTTCCTTTTGGGAATTGTTTTCCTCACGCTAACTATGTGTTTTGATAAGTGTTAATATTAGTATACACATTAAAGTGTTAATATTAGTATACTATTAAATAATTTATAAGATAAAATTAGAATTAGTAAGAAATATCTAAATGAATTATATATATTCTAAAACATAGATACCTTTATCTTCTTTGATGTAATTTGGTCGGATGAATCATGATCCTTTTTCATTGAATCGATATTATCAAAAGGGCGTTTTGCGGTTTCTTCAACTGTAATTTCATCTTTTGAAGCATCTTCATTACCTTTTATGACATCTTTATTCTACATCAAAATTATTTATGTAAAGTTTTGAGAGATTAAAATTTAAAATTCATGACTTCTAAATTAATATTAAATACTTGTAACAATTATTTAGTACCTCAGTGACACTTTTGTCAAGAATTCTCATCACCGTAAAAGTTTGTCGATTTGCTGTACGATTATAAGCGATGATTTTAACTTTGAACACTAACTCTCTTCCAAGGATATTTGCAATCATTTTTGGAATTTGTGTATCATCATCTTCATTGTCATTATCATCATCTTTATGATAATTGATCTGTCAATATTGATTGAAATAAGTGATAACAGCATTTATAGAACAATTTTATCTTTAAACTATTGTTAAAAAACAATAATCAAAACCTTTTCATAAGTATGAGCCTCAAAAAGAGTACTTGCATCTTGTCCTATCAGTTTCTTAGCGTCTTCATCAAAAACTACAAATATTGTTGACCCACTATGATCGATAACACTAAGCTCCAAACGATATCTGATTGGAAAAAAATAATGCATGAAAAAATTAGGTAATATATGATTTATTATTTATTTAATCTATTATCATAATATGGATAAAGAAGAAATTTGAAACAAACCTTGGGATGGGCCTTTCAATTTGTTTCTCACAAGCAAAGCACCAAAAATCTGTTTTTCTTGGAGTGATGCGTTTTTGACATGCTGGGCATGCGATATAATACCAACTATTTTCACTCATAATTGCATCCACTTTAGCGATGCAACAGAAGATCAAATCCTATATGATTTAAAAATAAAATTAGGTTTGAATTTAAGATTTATCATATATTTCATATTAAATATAATAAAATGATGTATTTTTTTTAAAAGGAATAATAAAGTGATGTATTAAAATACATTTTCTAAAGTTTTTTGTACATGATTCATAAGCGTTAAAATATCAACTTTTTTAGAGTTGATTTCTTCGGGTCCAATCTTAATGCTCTGAATTTCAAGTTTTCCAATGGTAGCATTATCTAACTTCTCACTGCATTATAATGATCATATATAAGAGGTATACTTATATAGAAAGAATATTATAAAAAATAAAATTATTGAATTTTACATACCTCCATAAAGATTTCAATTCATCAACCTCGGAAATTTGAAGCTCAATATAAATTTTGTTGATGGAGAAGTATTTAGATTAATTTTTCCTGTAAACAAAATGACAATGGCAAATTAGGTTATTCCTTGTAAATATTTAAAAAATAATTTATTATAATAAGTAATATATGATACTTACCATTAAAATATTTGACCATTGTTGAAGTAACAACTATACCAAAAGGCTTAGTAGAATCAGCAAGTAGGTCTTTTTGTCTTGAATAATCAGGAAATACATTATCCCAAATCTTTAATTGGATTCGTTGTCCACTAACCATGATATCAAAATACAAATAATTTATTAATAAATATAAAATTAATCAAATATAAATATTACTAAATCGTAATTGATAATAATAATAACAATAATAATATATTAAAATATATTAAAATAATAATTACCATTTATCTTCTATTTCAATAGAATCTCCAATTTCATTAACAACCATGCCAACCACATCTTGTAGGACAATGTGATGTATAAAACAAAAAAAAAATTTAAAAAAATAGTTAAGCAAAAGATAACACTATAGACATTTTTTAAAAATAAAAACAGAAAACCTGTAAAATATATACCGGGGAGTGTAGCACTACTACGGAACTTATCTAAATGTTGCAATTGAACAAAATCAAATCTATGCAACGGAATTTTATTATTATCTGCGACGCCCTTGACAGTTGTATTTTGAAAAAATTGTATCATTATCTTGTTATCGCTCACAACACGATATTCATTCTTGTTAGGTACAACAAAAAAATATCGAATTGTGTAAAATTTGCCTTCAACCAGTTTAGAACGAAATTGTTGGACAAATTTTTCTTTGATTGAAGCATGGACATATTCACCCTACATATGCAAAAAATATTGTAAGTTAAAATAATATGGTAAGTTACACAATAAATTTTCAAAAAAGAATTATATATTATTATTAAAAATAAAATTAAAGGCATACCTCTTCGTCAATTAAAACCATGTCCAAACTAATCAAACTATTATGTTTTCGAAAGTTCAATATATCAAAAAGCCTTGATACGCGTACTTTAATTTTCCAATCATTTTTGGAAGAATTAAGTTCTCGAATCAACGAAATAGACCTTAGAAAACAATGCAATGAAAAAAAATACGGAGTAGTTAAAAATAATATTATTTGTGAATACACCCATCTTGCACTGTATTGGTAATAAGAATGGCTTGAGAACACATTTTTACAATTATTTTAACTTCTTACTTCTCAATCAAATAACATAGTTGACCCCAAAAGAAAAACACATAGGATGATATGAATAAGGAAAGCACGCCTCTCTTTTTAAACTTCACTTTACAATGCATCTCTATTTTGATCTAGAAGTAATTGAAAAGGCAGCGGTACAACATTAATCAAACATTAGGTTGTGATCTATAGACTCAATTTACCATCAATTAGCATATAGGCAAGCTGAAAAACATTGATAAATAGCAAATGTTACAACATACAATAAAATAGTAAATCTTGGATGACAATAACAATGATGATAAAAGCAGAAGACTTTAAAAAGTGTAGTGATGCTTTTTTCATCCCACGACCTTACTTCCCCATGCAACCTCATCGTATTCATTGTTAATTCATAAAAAAAAATTAAGTTTAAGGAATTAGACGTACATTTTCTTAAACCACAATATAAAGTCGTAAATTGCTTTGTATGAAGTATTGTGTGATTCTTTGGTGGTGCGTGGATTAAAATAATGCCTATTTATAATAATAACAAATCATAAGCTAATTAAAACAATTCATATATTTTTCCTAACTTAAATTTTATCAATGTGTGTGTTATGTTTGATAATTTAAGTTTATTTTTTTTAAAATTATGATAAACATTATTTGATGAATTGGATTGCTATTTTTCATCTTGAATTTTATAATTTTAATATTTTAATATTTTTTAACCTATTTAATTATGATAAACATTAATATGCACGTAGGATCAACGTGATGAATTGGATTATTATTTTTTATCTTAACTTTTATAATTTTAATATTTTAATATTTTTTTAACCTATTTAATTATGATAAACATTAATATGCACGTAGATCAATTTGATGAATTGGATTGTTATTTTTCATCTTGACTTTTATAATTTTAATATTTTAATATTTTTTAAACCTATGTGGCACACATTAAATTCCAATCCTACATCGCACATTTATGTGGCGCTCTATAATTTTTTTAAAATAACAAAATCCTACGTGGCTCTCTAAAAACGCGGGAAAAAACTCCCCTTTATATATATATATTAGATTATACTATATTAACTAAAACGTTAATCACACGTTTAATTAGTTAATCTAAAATGTTTTAATTGAAAAAAGAAAGAAAAGATCTCAAGTGCCCTCCCATTTAATCCCCCTCCAACCTTGCCCTCCAACATTTCCCACCTTATTTTTGAATATAAATTAAATTCCCACCACATATACTTTCTTTTCTAATTTCTTTCTTTTTTTCCTTTTTTTTTTTTTTTTTTTTTTTTTTTTTTTTTTTTGCTTTCTCACTTTGACTTTCAAATCTGCAATAGCTTCCTCTGGCACAAGATCAATTTCAGGCAACAAAAATTTAAGAGGTGTGTAGTTTAAAAGCAATACCTGCAATTGTAATACTCCAAGATCTGTAGACATTAGGCTCTCAAACTCAGCAGCAAATCTTGGAAGGCCATATTACAAATGCAGGCTCTGTGACTTCTTCTTGTGGGTGACTGATGAACATAGTGTAAGGGATGTTGGCGGCAGACCTGGTAAAATGTCAGAAGCAGCATATGTTCAACTTTTAAGGGCAAAATTCACCGAGTTCATGAAGAAGACAGATGAATTTGTTGATTTTGTTCATATGATTGTTGAAATAGCTATTGTTATGTATTTTGTCTTATTGGTTGTTGTTTGAAATAGATGCATAAATGAATGAGTTTATGAGATGCAATGAGCTGAGAACTAAGTTTTGAGATGTAATATCAATCTATTCTAAATAAAATGGTTTGCTTTATGAATATGTTACCGTTTCATGTTTATGTAAGTATGAGAAATTAAAAGTGCAATAACAATATCACATATTAAAATGCATCCAAAAGTCAGTACCATATATAAACCATATAATAGCAACTGTTACACAAAAAAATAAGCAACACAAGCATACTATTTGCAAGTGTTACATCAAAATTGATTACTCACTTATGGTTACAGGTTAATAGAGCTACCTCAAAAGTATTTAAACCTTATGGATAATGTTTCATAAAACTTAGTTTAATACAATTAAAAAGTGGTTAAAACATCTAGATATCTCAGATTTACATTAAGATGTCAGTATTGGGATTGTGACAAGTCCTTGTGGCTGAATTAACAATTGTGAGCTCTGTTGCACAAGACCCTTCACTATTTGATTTTGCTCTTGCTTCCTTTGCAGCATTTGTCTGATCTCTCACTCTTGGGTTATCACAAGTGCTTCTTCAGTCCTTAACTCTTTTCCAGTCAGCCCTCATTTGCAAGTTTTTTTTTTTTTTTTATTGTGTCCAAAACCTCCACAGCGAGAGCATCTCATAGTTCTTGACCTTTTGCCTAGCTGGTCATCTCCTTCTTTCCTTTTCTTATTTTTGATAGGTCTACCAACCCCCCTTTTTCATCTTTGGTGGGTGACATGAATAGAGTTCTTAGCAATAGATTCAGACCATTGACTAAGATCTAGGACAAGAGTTATGCAATGACTGTATGAACGCAGGGAAATTAGGTTGTTGCCTAACCTCCTCACGGTCAAATTTTTGTTATAATTCTAAACAAACTCCTAAACAAGTCTAGTGGTAAGTTCGGAGTCAAACCACAAGGAACGGTAATGCTAGATAATTTTTTATCTAATGCTTAAGCTAGGCCAAAGTCGGTTTATGGATAGAGGATACTACAACTACTATAACACACATATAAAGAACAAGGTATTATAAAGTCTACCAGGGACAAAGATCCACTTTGAACATTTAATAATATAATGAGAATCCATTTGATAATTACTCATTCAAAGAAAGAATTAAAATGGGAATTAATTACACTCAAAAGCAATCTCTCAAATTCCTAGCCTAGATCCCTCTATGACTAGGTGCATATAAAAACTCAACCCAATTATTGCAATCAAATATATCAATTCTAATTCACAATCCCTTGTCAAAGTAGAGCCAATTATATGCAATTAAGTTTGCCATCATGGGATATCAATCCAATCTAAAACAAATAACATGTACGTCATCATCAATTCAATCAATTTAACCACATAATTATCATCAAATTTATCTCAAATAGCTTAATTAACCATTACAATGCTTCACTCAACACCTTGTAGAAGGAAATCTACTCAAACATGATTAACAAAGCAATTAAAGAAAACATAAAGAGAAAATAGAGTAAGAATGCTCATTGATATAAGATAGAGATCTTCAAATCATCAAATTCCTTCTTTGGTTATTATCCAAAATCCATGAAAACCATTGTGATTCTCACTTTCTCTCTCTAAATATCGAGAGTTTCTCTCTCTAAAAACCTAAACCTAACCTAATAGCTACTGAAAAAATGAACTTCTCTCTTT